TGTCCATTCAACACAGATAGCTCCGCCTCCAACTCCTTAACACGACCTTCAAGCCCCGCGACCTTAAGCTTAGAGACCTCCTTCTCCTCGGTCAGCTCCGACTTACAAACATGAAGGGTATTCTCCAAGGACATCGTGCTAGAAATAGCTGCCGCCAGCTTATCAGCACCGACATTCTATTTGCCCTTAAGCCCCTCAATCTCCACTGCCTTCGTATTTAATTCTACGGTCGAACTTGCCACTTTTGCTTGTAAGTCGGCATTCTCGGCCATCACCCCTCCCCCCGCTTAACTCTAGATCATCCTCATTCACCTTAAGAGAGGCCTCAAGTTCACTATTGCGGGCAACAGCCTTCATGAGCTCCTCATCTCGCTCCCTCAGCTCTTCGACCTTGCACGCCAGTTGGTCCTCCCTCTATTTGAGTCCTTCGCGGAACAAATGAAAGTCAGGGTCCTGATTATAAATATCAGCCATTGCACGATGCTTAGCACGATATTGTTGATACTTGGAAGACATATTCCTATAGAAGGCCGTCCTTTTCCTTTCCCGATGCTCGCGCTCGGTCTCCATGATAAGGGTCTAGCACAAAAAATGAGAGAAGTTAAAAACAAATATGCAGGTTGACAATCACAACGCAAACCCAACAATGAAAAGGAAAAGAAAGGCACCAACCCGTAAGGCCATACCGGCGACGCTATGGGACAACTCCATGTCACTCATCGCCCTAAGCATCTCGTTTTCTGGGGCAGCGCATAGAGGGGCTAAAACAAATGCCACCTGATCACAGTTCAACAACAAGTTGTAGTCTACTGGGATGACTATGTGATGGTCAGATCCTTTCGCCCTGACCTCCACATGAGTATGGCGACCTACAAACTCGCGAACGTCCTCCGGGTCGACATCTGAACCTGAGCCTTTGCCCTCGACACGACGGCCCGTTGGATAATGTGCCACCCTTAGCGGAGCGCACGAAGCCGGCCCCTGGATAAACTCCTTCCGTTTAGGGAGATCTACCCGCTAAAATGGTGTCGGCCATAAACGTAGGTACAGGTTTCGTGTGTGACGCCCTGCTTCTATCAGCTCCACGGCCACATCCTTCCCAAGCTCCGTTCTCTTTCTCTTTCTCAACAATGACTCATCCCCGTTAGAGGATTCGTCCAAAATATGTGGGGTCGGTATTGAAGAAGCCTCCTCCCTCACGATCATGACCCGAGAGGGACCCTCTACTTGAATCGATTGAGGACGACCCTCTCGAACAGACACATTCAAAGTAAACTACATCCCTACCGCAGCAACGGCCTGTCGGAATGCAGGGAATGGCGCTCTCCACTTGGAAGCTCCTCGACCTATCATCACGAAGAGTCATATCAATAGACGACGATATACAACCAACAAAGTGGTAAAGAGAAAACATTTACCAGATGGAACTCTAGGGCCATAACGCTTTATGAAGGTGGGCCAATCTCGTGTTTTCGCTACATGGGGTAACAGACGGGCTACCCAATCCCTTATGCCAGCAATAAGGCGGGGCGGACGTCCCATAGCTGCAAACGAGAAGCGAACAATCCTTATAATGAATATAGAAAAAGAAATAGTAAAATGAGTAGCAACACTTACGAGTTTCGTTCCACCTCTCCGGGAACCTGGCGGAGTCAGAAACGATGTGTTCAGTCTTGACAAAGAAATACTTATGTCAAAACTTGCGACTTGCTCGGTCGTCAGTCCTAACCACCAGCCTTTTTGTGCCACAGTTCCTCTGATGCACTATAGTACCCCTGTGGAAGCTGGGCGAGAACAGGTGCAAAAGGCGATGGATAGAAACATCGCATTCCGCCAACTATGCATACTTGGTCAACACTAGAAGAATCTTGAGCGTATATGGCGAAAGTTGTGCCGGGCAAACTTGGTAGAACCTATAGAACTCTTCCGCTAATAGGAGGAGCGAAAAGAGTAACCGATTACGAAAGGGTACTCGTAGAAAGCGCAGTACCCAGGTCTATGGACGTCTACGAAATCTTTCCCCGCTGGAACCATGTCAACATGAGCAGGAATGCTATACTTTGCACGAAGAGCGTCGATGTGAATTTGCTTCGTCTCAGAGAATACGGGGATAGAAGTAAAAGGGGGATCTTTGAGGAAGTCACTTCGAGACATGGGGTATCTCGGCAGTAACTCCTCCACCGTGGGAAGACTGTCACCTTCTTCTACCGCCATACCCTCACCACCTGAAGGGGGCGCCATGGACAACGGGGCGGCCTCAAAAACCCCTTCACGAGATCGATGTGATCTTGGCATGCTTTCGTTAAAAAAGGTAGTGACACAACAAAAAAAAAAGAGGAAGAAGAAGAGGTTGAGAACGAAGAATGTGAGAGGAAGATGAAGAGTGTCAGAGGAAGATGCAGAAGGGTGTTAAGACAAACTCCGAGAAACAGGAAGGGATAATCAGAAATGAAATGACCAAGAATTTTTGAAAAAACAAACCCTCCACCTATTTATAGGATTGGGTGGCGCTAGAATCGAAGTGGAAGGCCACAGAGTTGCACCAAAACCGAAGCGACAAGACATCAATCTCCCACCTTGAAAACACGCGTAATGATGATGCACGTGAAGATGATGTCATTTCCCTATAAAATGCATTACTTTGTGTCTTGCTAAGCACGCTGACCGCCTACCACTAGCCAGACTGTAACGCTTCGTAGGGTCAAATTTCTCCGTAAGAACGCATGGTGTCCACTCATCGAGGACGCACCAAGTTGCAACCCTGACAAGCGGAGGGACTAACTGTATGGGTCCAAATTTGGACAAACCTGACCGTTGATGAACACGACGAACGGCGAGATCCACGAAGCTCGACATCTTGCAGAGGGCGACCTTAAGGCAAACAAGAGACGGTACGACCCTCGCAGTAATGCAGGCCCATTAGGGGACATCTGGAATATTCTCTCGAATATTCCCTATAGCTTGTCTTTTAAAGCTCAGCAAGGTTGGGTTCCTTATATATAGAGCATGAAACAACTTTGTAAGGGACTCTTTTTCGGCTAATCCATAATACTTACTGTAAACTTGCTTACATAGATGATTGAGAAGATTATTATTAAAGGTTTTTTTTTTTTTTGCCTAAACGAGATAAGGAATTCTTATCATTATTTTCTTTATCCATCTTTCATTCTAGAGATTATTATACTTAGTTAAGATTTACCCTTCAACTTCTTTGATTGATTTGTTCAAAAAAAAATTTGATATCTTTTGAGTCAAATAGTAAGCCCAAAATATAGAGCAAATAAAAAATTTCCTTCTCCTTGAAGTCCAATAAAATGATCAGATATTCAAAGGACCTGCATATTCTGTTAGCTATTCATGGTTAACAAGGTATTCTCGAGTCGATTTTCGTGCAACAACAACCATAAATAGACTCAATCTCAAAGTTAGTTGGTTTTGACTATATGAATTATGAATGTCATAATGATTTGATAAAGGCGGGTCTAGGATTTCAAGAGGATGACACACTATTATAAAAATGTAGATATAGAATTTATATTTGACGAGTTTAACTTTAGGCTCTCGTCATGAACGGATGAACCCATAACACTTTTGAAAATATAGGTTCAAAATTATATTCTTTTTAATTTTTTAGTATATATACACACACACACACACCCCTCTATAATTCGTGACCGTCTGGAATAGGATTTGAACCACCAATTTTACTAGAGGTTCATCCAATAATCATTGTACCATAGGAGTTTTTGAGTTTGGGTGCGCACACACATATTTAAGCAATTTTAAAGAATTATAATATTATTATACATGATTTAAGAAAAAGAATATGGTTCACGTGAACCTACGTCCCTTAACATAGATATGAACCTGATTTATTGAGTCCATAATGTTTTAGTACTCCCTATTTAAAAATTATCTAGTAGTTATAGTAAACACAAGTCTTCAAGTTGGTATCACCTATACAAATTTTTAACGTGTGCTGTATTTTATGTTTGAATTTCAAAATATTCCAGATTTTTGGAGATAACTTCTTTTTCATGTTGTTTTAGCTCTACCTCTTCTTCTTTTTCCACCTTCAATTATCATATGTTCATATCTAAGAAACCGGTGCCTATCGAGGCTTACATAACACGTGGCTAAACTTAGAATATTGTTCTTTTATATCATGTTACCCTACCATTTTACAAAATAATCATACTGTTCTATTTTTTCGAAGTTGTGTTTTTTAGCATCCTAACATGGTTTTTACTTTTTATATTTACCCCACTCTCCTCTTCCTTTGAGCTAGTCATGTATTAAATATACCTGAAAAATAGGGAAATCACTTTCCGGCAAACATTTGCTCATTTTGGCACCTAATATTCCACAACTATGGATTTCTAATAATGTCTACACAATGTTTGAAAGCACAGAACAGTACAAGCTGAAACAAGCCAGATATACTTCTAAATCTACCAATCGTTGGACTGTTACATATTTACACTAAAAAAAAAAAAAAAAAAATAGAACACAAAAAAAAAAACTATCCTTAAATTTCACCAAGTAGGGGAAAAAGCCATTTTACAGGAGTTTCACTTATATACACTAACAATGTACAATAAATTTTTATACTATCGGGTTATCTAAATGTCATTACATGTAGCAACTCATAACTGGGACTGGAAAATTAGGGAATATAGCTAAAAATTTGCTGCAATAGGTTAGATTACCCCTCTTGTGTAACTATCTCTGCATAGATAAATTCTTTAAGAAAAAAGAACATTTAAGGAAATAGGTCTTTGGCTAAACTGGCCCAGAAGTATATTTCTAACCAAGAACTGCCCCGTAGAACAAATCCAAATACCATACCATTTCAGTGCGGAAATAGTACCTATGACACCATTATGCATAAAAGAATAAAGTACTATCCATAGAAATGATAAGTAGCTCACCTTCTTACTTTCCAGGATGTTGGAATAAGACCTATGCATATACATACAGAGATACAAAGAAATTCCAAGTCAAATAACTGCGAACATGTATATATATAGAGCGCAAAATTTTGACTTGCAAAAGATTTTTTTTTTTTGACAGAATACCGATTTAATTCAGGAAATGAAATTCAAACATTAGAATTTTTGAGTTTTGAACATCTCTTCAAAAACTGAACTTGTCATTTTCTGTTTTCTACCTCACCACTTTTGTCCATGACATTCCAGGTTTCATATGCCAACCAGCAGAGAGAGAGTTTTGACAGAATCTTTTTCCAGGCATAATCATCAACTTACCATTTATGGTGAGATTCCAAGAAGCAAAAGCTTCACATACTACTTCTATTGTCCTTTTTTTTCCCCTCCTTTCTCTTTCTGTTTTAAGAGAAATGTTTCAAGATATATCAGCCCAGGTGGATTAAAAGGTAGGTAACTTATTCTAAGTAATGGAATCTCCAGGATGTCCACCTCCTTTAATTGAGATCACTGGCCCGTGGAAGGAACTTCGACTTATCAAATGGGAATCTAGAAACAAAACTACGACCGTGATATCATCGTGAAAATGCCGTCTCACTCCCCGATCTATCTTTTTCAAGTCCGAGTATCTCATTTCTCTTTTCTTTGCTGCCTCCTGAAGGGCAGCTTTTACAAGTTTTCTAGCAATACCCTGCACAATTTTGAAATACATTAGTCCACTCGGAGTAAATAACCAACTTTATGACAAAATAACATTAAGCAAGTTTAAATAGTTGGCCAATTGCTTTTCCTTGAGGAAGACAGGTTTTCCCCCAAAAAAAAAAAAAAAAATAGTCCACCTGGAGTAAATAACCAACTTGTACACAGAATAAACCATAAGAAAGCTCAACAGTCGGGCAATTGCTTTTCCTTGAGGAAGACAGGTTTTCCCCCAAAAAAAAAAAAAAAAAAAAAAAAAAAATAGTCCACCTGGAGTAAATAACCAACTTGTACACAGAATAAACCATAAGAAAGCTCAACAGTCGGGCAATTGCTTTTCCTTGAAGACAGGTTTTCAAGAAAACAAAAGAAACATACTCAATCGCATTTATAGCCATAGTGGATTCTGTTGCAAATTATTTTCGTCTACTAAAAATATAAGCATGGGCATTATGTCTAGAAACTGGAAACCATGGCAGACAACCTCTGCCGATTACTTCTTCTCTTTTGCTGAAACCAAAAATGATAAATTGATTGCCCTACCTGTTATTTTCCTCCACAAATTCCCTTGGTATACGTTCCTTTCCTTCTTTCCTTTTTCTTGAAAGTGGCTTGTTAAATCATTGACTAACCTTTTAACTGTATTTGTTTTTTTTTCTCCGAAATCTTTATTTAAGATGGCAACACAAGTAAGAATCTCATCCCATTGAGCCAAAATAGCAAGCCAGTTTAACCATTGAGAAGAAAGAGAACAAGAAACAGAGAGTTTAACTTTGACAACATATCAGTAAGATCTTACATGACGTGGACAGCTGTTCACAATGTCAACGGCCTCTTGATTGCTGAGATGTTCCCATAAGCCATCTGATGCAAATATGAGAAACTGATCAGAAGGAAGGAGTCTGTGCGCAAGTACTGATGGCTCCGCAAGAAGGATTGGCTTCTCGAATGTTCCGGGAGTTCTGAACTTAGGAAGCAACGGCTCTCTGTTAAACTCTGCTCTCTTCAAATATGCATCACCAATTGATCTTGAAACCTGTAAAAGTGCATTAGATAATAACCATCATATACAGAAGAACTGATATTATATCTCCTCCATACTTTCCATATCGTGCAAATCTGTTTGCTTAGCATAAGAGCAAATAGATTTCAGCTTTCCCTCTAGAAACTTAGCATAAGAGCATTCCCTTTTTGCTTCTTTTAGGAGAAATTAATATTATTTCCCTGAGAAGTTTGTGAGATGGATCATGGTATGCCTAAGAACTGTCGCTTATTCAGTAGTAATTAATGGGAAGCCCTCAAGACCTTTTGAAGCTAAGAGCGGCCTGAGACAAGGAGACCCTATGTCTCCTTTTCTCTTTGTATTAGCCATGGAGTACTTTAGTCGATTGCTGAAGACTCTGAAAGCAACACCAGAATTCAGATACCACCCAAGATGTGCCAAAATGCAACTGGTGCAATTAGGTTTTGGTGATGACTTATTACTGTTATGCTTCCAGGAATTTTTAGAGGCATCAAGATTGATAGCTAACAGTACCAAAAACTCAGTCTATTTTGGTGGAGTATATCCTACGGTACAACAACAAATACTGGAGGTGCTTGGTTTCACAGAAGGAGACCTACCTTTGAGTATCTTGGAGTGCCACTTAGCACCAAGAGGTTATCAGTAGCTCAGTGCCAGCCACTAATTGAGAAAATGATTGGAAGAGTAACTAGTTGGACAGCAAGGTTCTAATCTTATGCAGGCAGAATTCAATCGATAAAGAGTACTTTTTTAATTCAAACATTTTGGGCACAAATCTTCATCTTGCCAAAGAAAATCCTCAAACACATTGAGACTATATGCAAGAAATTCTTGTGTACTGGAGAAGTTGGTATTTCCAGGAAAGCACTACTAGCATGGGATACTTTATGTAAGACCAAGGCTACTGGAGGGATGAATATAACTGACATAACACTCTGGAACAAAACTGCCATTTGTAAGTCATTGTGGAATCATTGCAAAAAGAAAGACATATTGTGGGTTACATGGGTTCATATGTATTACATAAAGGAAAAGCCAAGTGAGGAAGTTCAGGCTAAGCAAGCATCATAATTTAATTCAGAAGATCATGAAAGCAAAGACCAATGTGGAAGCTGCTGGATATACTTTACCATATCTCCAACAGATTGAGGACTTCTCAACAAGTAAAATATATAACTTTATGAGGGGGTTCTTTCAAAAGGTGGACTGGAGAAGACTAGTATGCAACAACCAAGGGATACAAAATAGACCTTTATTTTCACTCTAGCATTGCATGGCAGGTTATCTATCAAAGACCGCAGGGGCGAAGCTATGTTGGCCCAAGGGTGGTCAACTGACCACCCTTCACCGAAAAATTATGCTACGTATAAGGTAAAATATTAGTTGTTATTAATTAAAAATAGACTTTGAACACCCTTGCATAGCCCACTGGCAATTTTGAACACCCTTATAGAATTTCCTGGCTTCGCCACTGAAAGACAGGCTAGCAAAATGGGGAATAGTCACTGATAAAATATGCCCTTTGTGCAACATAGAAGAGGAATATATCTCCCGTTTATTTTTTGAGTGTTCTTTCTGTGCAAACATTTGGAATAGGATACTAGAATGGCAAGGAGTCCAGAGATTGGCAAGACATTGGCAGAATGAAATTCGCTGCGCTGTGGCAAATGCATGAGAAAGATCTGCTACAAATTAAGTATATAGAATGGCCTAGCAGGGTGCACATACCATATATGGGAGGAAAGAAATCACAGATGCTTTCAGCATACACAGAGGAGCAGTGATGCACAAGGCAACTAATCCAGTTGAATTTTATCCATCGTGTTTATCTGTTAACAAGATAGTGGAGTCCAACAGGAGTAAGAGGGGTAGATATTGTTCCTCAGGTGCTAGTTAGCTCAAGCCTGGGACTGTTTGTCCAGATTTAGCCTAGTTTATGTTTGTTTTCTTTTCCCTTGAGCTGTACATATTTACTTTGGTTAATGACATTCTTTTATTTTCCAATATATATATATATATGGAGCTGTAAGAGGTCCAGACTTGAAAGTCCCAAAATAATAAAATAGACCCACATATTCAAGATGTCATTCCTAAATTTATGCTACAGAGAGAGAGAGAGAGAGAAACATTTTGTGGTCCTAAGTCCAGAGGCATAACAGCGATCACTGCATCAAACCTTATAACTAAGACAAAATTTCACTTAATTAATATCTACACAATTAGAAGTATGATAAGATGAAGTTTTACAGCAGTTCAAGGAATTCACCTGTATAATACCCTTCACACGCCAAACCTTGTGCTTTAATACTACTACTTGTGGATCATCAGGATGAAGAGAGCGTAGTTCCTCCCGGACAGATTCCAAATTTGCATTGTGTTCAGACGACAATTGAATAGCTTTAACCTCTTTCAGATCCCCCTCTTCTCTTCCTAATACCACACGAGAGTCTCCAGCATTTGCAATGTATAACATCCCATTGCAAATTATACCCACTAAACAACATGATCCCACAGAAGCAATGTGGGGTTTAATTAGCCATTGCTTTCTCACTAGAGAAAGAAACTCCTCTTCTGTAGCCAAATATGCCTTGCTTATGACATCAGCTGACATTCCTTGATCCTCTGAGGTGAATTCTGCAATACAAATAGCTGTTAACTGAGTAACAAATGCATCAGTAATCTTCAAAAACCATACACACAAAAAAAAAGAGTAATGCATTCACGCCCTTGTCAAAGAGAGGAAATAAACAGACATGTTTTTTTTCGATCAACTCCTTTCAGGGGGAATTAGGTTGTTTTGAGCATGGGGTACACCTCATGTCTTTTATCCACTTCTCTTTACCGTGATATGTCAAAGAAGGATCAGTTACCAGAGGATGGTCTCCATTACTACAACCAAAATTTAGTATTTGTATCTTCGCAATTACAGGTATCCCGTTAGCAAATAATTTGGAGGTTTTTAAACATAAGGGACTAATCATGTTCAGTTATAATCTCCAAATGCCAAACAGAACATTCCACTAATGCTTCAAATTTACACAGATAATTCAGGGACAAGGAACCTGAGAATTCTACATTATTGATCCTAAGAGCACAAGCTGCTTCTCTTGCAACCATATATGTTATCCGCTCTCTTTTGATTTTCAAAAAGATGAGTCAAACCAACAGAACATTCCTTCTACTAATGCATACAGACAGACAGCATTCCTTCTTCACAACTTACATCTATTATCATTCATAAAGGAAGTTTTTCTTTACAAAATATCTAACTCTCCAAGATTTTAACAATGAAAATGTTGGCAATTTGGGTAAAAATGTCCAGATTCCACTGCTAAATGATACATAATAGTATGTTTATATAAAATATGTATCTTTCTTTAATAAGGTTTATAGAAGAATAATCGTTTGATGGTCTTTGACCCAATATTTATAAAACAGCCTTAAAATACTGAGCGGTGAGGGCCTTATACATAGTGATGTTGAGACTGAATTCTTCTGAAAGATACTCTATGCATGCATAATAAACCGTCACATCATTTGCTTTCATCTCTAGTCAAACAACTATAATTTTCTTTCTTTTGTCTATTCTTCCAGGTAATTGAACAATAAGAGCATTTTTTTCATAAGTTATCCCCATACAGCTAGGATAGGCGGGGCCCATATTAGTTCTCTTTCACAACTTGCAAAGGACATTATTCTAAAAGGATGTTATTCCTAACCAAAAGAAAAAGTCCCAAATGTCCTAAACTCAATCATGGTCTTGATTATGCCAGAAATAGCTAAAAGCAGTCTAAAGTTGTCCTAGTTTCTTGGGTAGGAATTAGAATAAAAAAAGTTCCCACTGCTAAAAGCTTTCCTTTCAGTAAGCACGTTATATGGAAACCATACGAAGGTTTTAACCTGAAAATTTCATTCAAAATGTATGTAAAAGAAACTCAAAAGTATGTAACAAACCTAAAAATTCAATACAATCATTCAGAAATACATATATCAAAATGAGCCTATGCGTGGCATATATGATTCCGTACATATACACAAAAGGGATTACAAGAGTTACTGCAGGAAACAAGCTTCTGGACCACATATACGTCAACATAAGAAATGCAAGAGCTATAATTGATGATGAAGCAAAGCATTGAAAAAGAAGAAAACCATACTCTTGAGGTTCTCAAAAAGGCGGTCATTTATGAAGCGGGCAGCTTCTGGACCAGCATGGCCATCATAAATTCCGACAAAGGTCCCTTGAGGACCTGTATCCGCCAAACTCAACGGCCCGGATTCAAGCTGGCACTGATCCTCCATTACATTATTTGCTTGTATTACAGCCATTGAAAATTCTCCATTTACATGATGCCCTGAATCTTTGTACCACCACAATCCATCGACTCGGCCACCTGGATCTCCACCTCTAGTGCTACTATTCTCACCTTCGTTCTCTATCGAAGGCTTCCAACAAGGGTATACAAACTTTCTCAATGTAGTTGTCACCATCCCTTTACATATTATTGCTATAATAATTATAACTCACCCAAAAGAACTATCACTCAAAATATTAATCAAATTACTACTATTCCAGAATCCAAACCCCAGTTTCAGACCTATTCTATTATGAGGATCACCACAAGTTCCAGACTTTGTGCATATATCAATCAATGCAGACACCATTAATCTGCATAACCACAATATCAATAACCAAAAATCAATTTGCATTGCAAACACATTAGATTACCAATCTATACTAAAAAGAATAATGGGTTTTCAAGAAAATACACAAATATGCAAAAGTCAAAGAACTCCAAATAAGAAGAATAGGGGATCAAATTAGATACCTTGAATCAAAGATTTTCAACAGTGATGGCAATGGAAGACACCCATTATCAGATTATTTTGTTTTTTATTAAATAAAGTTTGGAACTTTTACTCACGAGGAAAGAGAAAAATTCTCTATGTAATGTGGAAAGGGGTAGATCAGAGTGCGTGTGAGGGTGAGGGAGAGGGAGAGAGAAGGCCACTGTGGTGGTGAATGTTTTTTTTTTCCTTGTAATTGTAGTTAAGAAAGAGAATAGACACATAAATAATTATTGGAACTTTGAATGGGCCCTTAAGAAATTCTGATTTGTTCACTTTTCTTTCTTCTAAGTGACGTTTGGACATAAGAATTGTAAAATCTCAAAAAAAAAAAAAAAAAAGTGAAAATAATTTTCAATTGAAAATGGTATTTGAAAATTAGAGTTATGTTTGGAGTTACTATAATTTTGGGTTATTTTTGAAATTTTGTAAGTTATCTGAGTGAAAATTTTGAAAAACAACTTTTTGGAGTTTTTTAAAGTTTCGAAAAATTTCAAATGTATCTTCAAGCGAAAATTGAAATTTTTTATGATCAACCGCTGATTTCAAAAAAGAAAAGTAAAAATATTTCAAAATAAAAATTATAAAATTTCTTATGTCCAAACGGGCTCTAAGAAATTGTTTTCCTTTTGGATTTTCCTTTTTCTAGATTCTCTTTTCGGCATTGGGGTGGTTCTGACTTTGACCAGCAACAAACCACCACCCTTTTAGGCAATTTTTTCTCACTCTCCGTGTTCTTTCTTTCGTGATTTTCTAGCAAAAACAATGAGAATTATCAATTCTAGTCAAATTTTTCCTTGAATTATATCAAATGATCCAAATTTATGATCAAGAAGTTGGTGTGGAGCTTTGGTATTGTTATTGATGATTTGAGAAGTATTATTGATGAGTTGTGTCAATGAGTTTCAACAAAGGTGGAAATTCTACTTGATGGTGCAATTAATTATTGTTTGAGTTCTATTTAGGGTAATTTTTAGCCTTGAGATGATAAATTTGAGCTTGGGAGATAGAGACCTAGCTGTAGGAGGTTTTGAGTGTAAAAAAAATGATGATTCACCGTCAGAACAACGTCCATGTTCTTCAATGTTTTGGAAAAAATATGGATAATCTTGTATTATTCAATAACAAATTTGACCACTTTTTCTTGTAAGAAAGGCCTACGTCATCATTGGTATGAAAAGTGGGGCTTACCAAAAGAATAACACAACAACTAGCTCATCGATCTGTCACCTGGAGTACTAGTATCTAGTATCTGAAAATAATAAAGAAGAAAGTGGTCATATGCCTAATAAACTGACACAGTTTAGTGTCATTAATTTTATCTTTAAGAGGTGTGACAAGTATTGACAAAATATGCCTAACAATATACTTGAAACAATTTAAATAATCACGTCATATCATAGTGATGTAAAGATTCACAACATGTATCATACTTTGTAGTTTCAAATATCAAACCAAAGAAGTTTCAACTATCATACATCGTTAATCTCATTTCCTTATTCGCTTCCTCATTTCCATAATTTATTTTATGTATATACATACGATATTACTCACATTGGTTACAACGATCAGCCCAACCTTCCAACTGACAGGGCTATAGTGACGCCCATGACGGAGGACGAGCCAACGAAGGAGGGTCAAGCAGGACTAGCAGACTTCTAGGCCGGTAAGCTTCTGAAAAAGAGGTGCATATGTCAGCTTAGGCAAATCACACAGCGAAATGGAAAAAGAAAGTGAAGAGCTTTATAAGGCAAAATATAAGTCCACATGGTGCGCACACTTTTGGGCTCGATGCAGCGTAGCCTGAAAGACAAATTCGTAAATGCCTAGGCCCAAAGCAAACAATACGTGTTATAAGCTTGAGTCGTGATAAATATGATACTAGAGCCTAACTCTCTCTCATACAATGGTGGGACAAACCTTAGTGAAAATGCTGATTCCCAATAGGGGGATCAATATGGTGTCTGTGATAGAGAGCGGGCCAATGAGGTCGGGTCAATTAAGACTGACATAGTTCTAGGTTGGCAAGCTTCTGAAGAAGGGGTGCACATGTCACCTTAGATAAATTATATATTAGAATAAGAAAGGAAAGTAAAGAGCTTTATAAGGTACAATATAAGTTCTATAGTACGCGCGACTTTGGACTGGATATGGTGTAGCCTGAAAGATAAATTCATACGGGCCTAGGCCTAAAGCAAAAAATACGGGGGCATTTGCATATATACCTGCTTTCTGGGTCACATTGTAACTTGTGCCCGCTTTGCAAAAAAAAATTCAAGCGTACCCACTTTTTCGCGTAACTTCAGCATACGAGGCTGAAGTAGCAAATGCAATCACGCAAAACTTCAGCATTCTAGTAGACGGGTCTGAAGTAGCAAGTGTGCTGAAGTTTTTGTTTGTAATTGCTGAACTTAAGCATAGCAGCTGAAGTTTTGTTATATATTTGCTGAAGTTTTTATTTGTAATTGCTGAACTTAAGCATAGTAGTTGAAATTTTATTCTCTATTTGCTGAAGTTTTTGTTTGTAATTGTACTAAATAAGCTGAAGTTTTTTTGTCCTGGATTCATTAGTTTTGCCATTAAGCTTTTTCAAAAACTTCAGCAGAAAATGCTGAAGTTATTTAGTTCATTTGTAAAAACTTCAGCACTAAAAGCTGAAGTTTTTTTATCCTGAATTCATTAGTTTTGTCATAAAGCTTTTTCAAAAATTTCAGCAGAAGATGATAAAGTTATTTAGTTCATTTGTAAAAACTTCAGCACTATATAGGCTGAAGTTTTTGAAAAAGCTTTCTAACATACTAGATAAATAATCAGATTGCCATCAGTATCTAAATCATAAATTTTGGAAACAATAAACGTGAAAAGAACAGAATTATCATGAAAAGAATCACTAAGTGTAATCTTAAACTTTCCATACGTGGAAATATTCACAAATTATTGTCTACTATCTTACGTAATTATTTATAACTTATTTTTAAATAATCTGATAAACATACTTATGACAATCATCCCATGAACTGAAGTTTCATAGCAGCACCAACAACAACAGCAGCAGCAGCAGCAGAAGAAGAAGAAGAAGAAGAAGAAGAAGAAGAAGAAGAAGAAGAAGAAAACGAAGGAGAAGAAGAAAGAGAAAGGAGGCTGAAGTTGTTTAAAAAGTAGGTACAAGTTAAAATTTTAAAAAAAATGGGTATATGTTAAATGAGGGCGACCAAATAGGACGCCCCATACAATTTTTACAAAAATATGCGTTATGGTCTTGGATCGCGATAACTGTGACTATTTGATACGCCATGATGTTTATTGCGCTCAAAGAATCTTCTCCCTTGCCAAGGCTAAATACGCCATGTGGTGTTGATTATGATCAAGGCATCCCCCCCCTGCCAAGGCTAAGCATATTATCGCACTCGTAGCATTAGTGTTAATGTAATAATCCAACCTTCCCTCTTAAGTAATTATATACCGTTTCATCTTTTAAGTACTTTGAATAGGTTCTTGGGACTTATTGTTGTGGTTTAGTTGGACACCGAGGAGATCAAATGAGTTTTGACGCATTCGAGAGAAGTTAAAAAATTGGAGAATATTACAACAATGCTCCTTGGTGCATGCGTCACGTGAGACTGTACTAGACAAGCCATGTGCGACCGGCATATACCATGCAGCCGACACACAAGGACCTTGGCATGCGTTTGGCAGCAGAATAAGGGTAAATTTTTAGTGCATTGTAAATAGCCCCATTTTGTAATTTTATTTTATTCTCCACCATTCTAAGAACTTGGGAGCGCGGCCTTAAGTGATTTTGACCCAGATTTTTATCTATAAGCTTAGGGTAAATGATCAAATATAACTTTGAGTTCATATCAATTATTTGCCTTTAGATTCAATATTTGAACAAGGAATTTAAAGAGTGAAATTAGGTAATTTAAACATAAACCCTAGAATAACCTAGTTAATGATTTAAGTGCCTTAATAAACTTCAAATAAAAGTCTAAGCATGGATTTGGACTCGTGACTTTATGAATAACTTGAATTTGACTTTGATTTTGAAGTTGGACCACGGGAGAATAGGGATTGGCTTTGTTATGACCGAATAGTAATTTATGAAATTGAGTCTAATAGATTTGTGTGACATATTATTGAATAATCTTTTTAATATATTGAAGTCTTTTGGTGAACTCGGGACGTGAAAAAACTATCTTGGAGGGCAAATCTTGCTTGGATCGGGTTAAGTTAAATTTTTAACTTCAATAAGAGAATTTTCAGAAATTAGAATATTTTACATATATAATATTTTTCATTAATATTAGAGTCTGACAATTAATTCTGACAATTAATTCTGACAATTAAAAATTAATATTAGAGTTTGACAATTAATATTTTCAAGTGACTTTCTTGTAAAAGAAAAAGAAAATAGTGAATGCTTCATACCAACATCGAGAACTTGTAAATAGTTGGACAACCTTGAAGACTAGCACAATTATCTCCAATTTTCACAATGCAATCCACGCAGAGATCAACTTTCTCTTTCCTGATTCTACAATGTCTGTGGTTTGAATTATTTCTTATCTCATCTACTGAAGGATCCTAAAGAAGGAAAGCAACTCTTTCATACCATGCTTTTTCAAGACTACAAAAGAGAGTACTCAAAGAAAGCAAATAACAATGTCACGATCCAAAACTACCAACCAGTCGTAATGGTGCTTAACTCACTTGTTAGGCAAGTCAAACATAACAAAAACAAAACAAGATAGTAGAACTAACGGAAATAACATAAATTCAAAACCAACTAACATAAATTATTGCGTCGATACATAAAAATCCCCAGAACTGATAATACAGAGTCATGAGCTGTAAAATAAAAGTGCAAGTCTAGAATGCAAAATAAGATTGTTGTCTCAATAGAAACAACAATACTAAGGGTGTGTTTTGTACGAAGAAAAATATTTTTCGGAAAATATTTTTTAATTTTCCTATGTTCGGTTGGCCTAAATGTTTTGGAAAATATTTTCCTTATGAACTCATTTTCTTCCAATTGGAGGAAAAAGTTTTCCTATTAAGAGAAGGGAAAACATTTTTCAAAACTCCTTCTCCACCTTCCTCACCCTATTCCCTATCCCCACCAACCCNAAAATTATTATTAATAGTACTTCTTTTTATGTTATAGATGAATTTTTTTTCATTTCAAAAAATGAGT